CGCCCGGCCGCACGGCGAGACGGTGCTCAATCACCTCCCTGGGAACCCCGGGCATGTCCGCTGGTCTCCATGCGAAGACGTCAGCGTTTGCCCGCAGGAAGGAGACGAGCGCGTCTTCCTATTTGCCATCCAGGAGACCACCGATCCGTGTGGTCTTGGATGGGCCGTCGCCCAAGGCAACCTCCTTGACCGGGACCTCGTCGCATGTAGCGATCCGCTGCCTCGGGGCGGTGGGGGCAGAGGGGCCAGGCCTCTCGTCACCACCCTCGGGCTTGGATGCAGCAGCGAGGCGGTCGGCACGCTGCTCCATGCAAGCGAGCGCGACCTTAAGATCGCCATGGACAGAGATGGGGCCACCGGGGCCCGGCATCTTCATCTGGAGGTAGGCGTAGTGGACCGCCGCCATGAACTTCACCAACGCGGGCCTCCCTAGGACCGCGTTGTAGGGCAGACTGAGGTCCGCCACATCGAAGCTCACCCGCTCCGTGCGGAAGTTGGCGGGTCCACCGAAGGTGACCGGTAGGTCGATGTGACCTAATGGCCACGTGTGCCCCGGCGTCACACCGATAATCGGCTGGGACGGTCGGAGCACCATCCCCGGGGCCTTGATGGCATCAAAAGCCGCGGGGGAAAGGATGTTGAGGGCCGCTCCTCCATCGATGAGGACACGTCCCAACTTCACGTTGCAGATGGTGGGGGAAACCACCATCGCAACCTGCCCTCCCCGGGCAATGCACGGTGGGTGGTCGGTCTGGTCGAAAGTGAGAGCAACCTCCGACCACCGCGCCCGACGCGTCGCCTCATGAGTAGGGGCCATGGCCAGAAGCTCTCGCTTCATAGCCTTGAAGCTCCGGCGAGAGACGTGAGCACACGCTCCTCCATCGACGGTGGCAATGGTGGCCCCAGGTTCTTGGAAACCTAGGTCATCATCACCATCATCGATGTCAACAGCGGGGGCCTTCTGCTTGGCCTCACTTCGCCGTTTGCCGGAAGGAACCGCCGGGGACTTGCCCTCACGGCGTTCCTGCCTCCTGTCCTCCTCCCACTTCCTCGTTCGCTCAGCCAAATTTTTGACTGCGCGACAGTCCGCGAGATCGTGGAGGGAGGTGTTGTGGACGGAGCACCACCTGCCGGCGGGGCGCTCCTTGCTGGGAGTACCAGCCTCTTTCTTTTTGTCGCTCGCAGGCCTCCCCTTTCGGGTGGCCCGCGGAGCGCCCTCGACGGCGAGGACATGACCCTCATCGCCGGAACGGTCCGACCTCTTCTTCCTCCTCCTGTCACGCCGCCCTGTCTGAGCGGCGGATCCGGGGGCGGCCGAAGCTGCCACTCCGGAACTGGAGGAGTTCCATGTCCACGCTTCCTCTTTACGAGCCACTCGGTCCGCGAGCTGAAAAAGCTCCGCGGTAGTCTGGGGCTCTTTGGAAGCGATCTTTTCGAGCATGCGGTTGTGCCGCACGCCCCCCCTGAACGCGTAGATCACCGCGTGTGCAGGGATGCAAGGTATAGTATTGCGGACTTGGCAAAACCGCTGAATGTACGAGCGAAGCGACTCATCATCGCCTCGCTGTACTGCATGCAAGTCCGCTTCTTCGCCTGGGCGCGGATATGTGCCTTGGAAGTTCATGGTGAACTGTTGGCACAAATCTTCCCAGGAGTGGACCGACGCGGGTGGCAGGTTCATCAGCCAACCCCGCGCCTGTCCTTTTAGGGCCATGGGAAAGAAGTTCGCCATGACCCTGTCGTCACCCCCAGCGGCCTCGATCCCGGTCGTATAGACCTGGAGAAACTCGGTGGGGTTGACGCTCCCATCGTACTTCTCGGTGATGGTGGGCCGGAACCTTGGGGGCCAACGGACATTCCGAAGACTCGCCACAAAGGCTCTACAGCCAACACCACCAGCCGGAGGCACGGAGGGCTGGTCCTCACGTCCATGTCGAGGTGACACTCTGGACGAGGAGGCACCCTCCGTTGCACGGGGGGTACGCCGGCTATTACGCCGGCGCTCGATGTTGAGGCGGGCATCCGGCTCCCCATGCTGATCCTCCCGAGTCGAAGGTGTCGACGAGGGAGTAGCAGCCGAATGACGTGCAGCCGCCGCCGCTCGCCGCGCCCTCCGCCTTGACGACACGGAGCCGGTGGTAGCGGCACCGGAGGTCTTGGTGGTGGCGGACCGTCCACCAGCACCCAGGCGCTGCTGTGCCGTCATGACCAAGTTGGCCACATCTTCCAGCCATCGTTGGGCTGGAGACTCCGGGTCATGGACGACAGGCGGATGTCGTAGGAGCGCGCCAGCAGCCTGAAGCGCACCCTGAGGCGTGCTGCCGTCGCCGTAGACGAGGAGGCGGCGCTCCCCATCTTGCCGTCCTCCTGCACCACCTGCGACTGGTGATGCCATGGACTTGTCGACCTTCTCAAGCGCCTCCCCCTGCTTAGGGCTTGGGCGCGGAGGAGATGGGGGAGTACGAGCTCGACGGCGTGGATTCAGCTCCCCGTCGTCGCCGCTCACACTCGGAGAGAGGTCGTGCGCCTTTGCTCGCTCGGCCATTAGGCTGAACAAGGGAAACTTGGCGCCCACGGAAGAGTCTGAGAGCTCAGAAAACACACGCTGAGCCCCCTACCTGGCGCGCCAGATGACGGAGCTCGTGGCTCCTCACCGGGAGACCGCGCAGGCCCCCCTTTGCCGGTTCGGCCGGGGGCTTAGGGTGAGATCTCAAGCTCTCTCTGTATGTGGAAAGATTGTCTGCTAGCAAGGGAACGCGAGACACGGCGATGTATACAGGTTCGGGCCGCTGCCAAGCGTAATACCCTACTCCTGTGTTTTTGTGGATTTGTGTATGAATGAGCTACAAAGTGTGAGCCAAACTCTCCCTTGTTCTAGGCTCTCAATCTCGCCAGAATCAACCCTCTACTCTGTGGGCAAGGTCCTCCTTTTATACTTCAAGGGGATACCACACGCACCCTTCCCTTTCCAAACTGGACTTTCCTTCTCTTTACGAACGGAGATTGATATGGTTGCCGTCCGAATCACACTTCGATGGGACAGCCCACACCTACCTCCACTCCCGGCGGAGACGGGCGCAACGTGGGATCGTGGCTGCTCGTTGCTGACGCGACCAGTGTCAGACCGGTCATTCTTGTCCACCACGCGTCAGATTAACAACGTGCATGTTTGCCCTTCTTCGTGTAACACCTTGCCTGTAATGGTTAGGATGAAGCCTGGTATTCATCTAACCAGGGCTAACGTGCCATCTCTAAGAGGTAACACGCTAGCTCCGGCTGGAGACGTGTGCCTAGAGGCACTCGTCTTGACGGGACGGGGCGAGGCGTGCGTCAGACCGCCAGTCGCCACCTAACCGTTGATCTGACCGGTCTGTGACTGGTCACAGACCGGATAAAAGAGCGCGCTGTATTGCGCTGCATGCAGCGTGACACGCTTGACCAGACCGCAATAAATGCTGTTAGGTGAGCACAGCTGTGCTCACTTATCCCATATATGTGGCGCAGACTTCCTTAAGGGGTCGGGGTGCCTCGGCCCTCGGGGTCGGGGCAAGCGCAACCCGACCCCCCCTCGGGGGGAATCAGGAGGAGGGCGGACACCTCACCCTCGGGCCCGACGTCCCCGAAGGTGCCAGGCCACGTGGGCGATTGTGTCTGCCTCAAGCCTCTGGCCATGATACTCCCGGTCCCATATCACCGACACTATCATATGCACTGTTGTTATGATGGCTTGCTGAGTACGGTTGGTACTCACTCTTGCTATTACAAAATTTAATCAGTGGATGGCAATGAAGTCGAGGAGGATCCCTATGCTTATCTTCAGGAGGATGCGGAGGATGACGGCGCTCTGTAGGTCTTAGTTATGGTCGTTGCCTGTGGCAATGGCATAGCCGCTGCCTATAATCTGCTGCCTTACCTATTTCTGTTATTGTTTGTATTGTGGACCGTTTAGTCCTATGATCTAAGACTGCCCGCGGGCCTATGATGTAATAATTCGCGCTAAACAATCTTTGTATGCGCACTTGATAATTCAACAATGTAACCGTGAGTACCAGACTACTTGATCCAGGGAAATGGTACTATTAATATGAGTGATTCCGTTATAAAAACGGGGGTCTACATTAAGTTCAATCCCGATCGTGCCCCGCTCTAATTCAATGGTCAGATTAAGTTTTGTACCTGGGGTTACCGGTACCTGGGGTACCGTTTGCTGGACGGGAGCAGTGCTCAAAAATTAAAGATGGTTTCTGTGATACTTTGATATGCCGTTCGTATTTAAGTCTATTTTTATGTTCGTTCACTTTTGTAAATACATAAGGAGTCATATAAGAAATCCTTTTAAAACCCTCACATGCTAACTTGGGGTGAAAGTCGGACTCCTAATTGCTTAACAATTCTCGCTAGACCATAAGAAAGCAACGTACATGATTTTTCACGTGAACAATGATATAATCATCATCCCAACAAAAATTCCGAATTAGACATCAATACTATCAATATAAAAATTCCATATACCTTTTAGAAAAAAAAATCTAACAATAGAGATTCTACCAAGGCCTATATGTAAATGACCTATGTTCCTCTTACTATGAGGAATCGCTGTCGTTCGGCCAACACTAAACCTGCTGAATCTTCAACATCTTATTTTGGGGTAATTATAAATTTGCCACTGTTTTGAATCGTTATTGCAAGACTGTCACTAGAACATTGCGAAAATTCAACTTGAACTGTTGTTCGAGCGGCATGCTTGCAAAATTGAAAAAAAAGTGGTAAATTCGCAAATGCTCGTATAGTCGTATTTTCTCTCTTTTGATAACCAGCGGAAATGAAAATTATTTGACAAATAAGTTGGGTGTTTTGCCGTTAGAAACTAACTAAAACAAAAGACTAACCATTTTAACTGGAGAGCGCCTCCTCCTAGCTTTGAAACAAAATAAAACTAATAAAGATAAATTAATCGAACTCGATCTGTGGATGAGAAAAGGGGAAGTGGTGAAGTGCACCTAGCTGGCGACCCAACTCGAATATCTCGATCTGCTGCAAGCTTCAAAATCTGGCGCTGTGAGAAGGGTCTAGCAGGACGCGGGGGCTTCATGTGATTATATACAAAGCGTGCACGGTTTTCCAAGACATGGGGCGTCCAGGCCTCCAGGGTCAGCTGCAGTAACAGCTATGAATTTGCGGTCATTATTGATCCAAACATCTAACGGAAATGATAAGGCTAGTTCGCTAGTTGTGGTTCGCAGCGCTAGGCTGTGTGGTTAGGAACCCCGCACTGTTCAACTGCTCTAGTGCACTGTTCCGGATGGACGGACGCAAGGTGATGGTGACGACGCCGTTGGGCCGCTGACAAAAGCCGTCAGCCTGCAGGCGTCGTCTGCCCAGCAGGAGAGAAGCGTGCAGCGCTGCATCGTATTTGACCGAAAAAAAAAGTGGAGAACAGTGCAACCGTCAAAGAAATATGGCAACACCAAAAAAAAAAACTGAAAAGGCAAATAAAACCAAAAAAAAATGTTGCAAATGTACCCTCGATTTATATGGATTATTTTTGTTAATTGTGCAACGTAAATTCATTAAGCACGTCATTAGCGACGGACAAACATATTTTATTCGGTCCATTTTACCCTCAACTATATAGCATTTGTCTGAAATACACCCCTTACTTCAAAACCGGGTATAATACACCCCTCAATTTTTAAAACCGTTCGAAGTTTGAAACATTGTGGTTTCGCCAATGTGGCGCTGATGTGTCAATCATATCTAAGTCAATAAAATATATTTGAAAATAATTAATGTCCCACTCACTACTGGAGAAACCATCTTTGCCCGGTCAGCCAAAATCCACTATACTCCTGGATTGAGTAAGAACTGGGACTAAATCTTTAGTCCTGGTTCAAAAAGCCCGGGGTACTTTTTTACCAACCGGGACAAATTGTCAGGCTGGTGTCATGCTTATACTATTTTTAGTCCCCGTTGGTAATACCAACCGGGACAAAAGAAAAATCCGGATCAGCCCTCTCTGCGTCATTCTCCCCGCCCTGTTACCAACCAGATTATATAATCAACACTTAGAAAAATCTCTCCGCATTGTCCTCTCTCAACTCTCTGCGGAGAGATTTTTCTCCCTCTCTCGATATCAAGCCGCTCCCTCTCCCTCTCCCTCCCTCTTAGCAACAGCCGGCAGTGGGAGGGGAAGGGAAGCGGCGGGGCGGCGGGGGCGGCCTCCCCTCCGCCGGTCCTGGAGGGGAGGCGGCGGGGCGAGCCGAGCGGCCGGGAAAGTGGCGAGGGGTGGCGGCCTCCCCTCTGCCAAATCTGGGAGGGGAGGCGGCCGGGGAAGCGGCGGGGCGACGGCCTCCCCTCCGCCAGATCTGGGAGGGGGAGGCGGCAGGGCGAGCTAGCCGGCGGGGTGGCGGCGGTGGCACTAGGGCGGTGCGAGGGTGGCGGCGGACTCTCCTCCACCGGATCCGGGAGGGGAGGTGGTCGGGTGGTGGTTGTGGTCCTGTGGAGCTTTTTTTTATTTTGTGAATTGATGTGTAGATTTTTTTGTTGATTTGGGGATGATTTGTGGATTGTGGATGGGCATGTGTTGTGTATGATTTGTAAATGATTTTTGTGGATGATTTAGGTGTGTTGTGCGTGATTTGTAAATGATTTATGCATGTGATTTTTGTGCGATTGTGCTCGAGATGGAAATAGAAAAACAGCAGTGGAAGCAAAAAAAACAAAAAAGAAAAAAAATCCCTTACTCCCGGTTGGTAACATTAATCCGGGCTAAAGACGATTTTATCTTTAGTCCTGGTTGACCAGGACTAAAAATCGATCTTTAGTCCCGGGTATTTGAATCGGGACTAAAGATAGTGGTCTTTAGTCCCGGATTCATAGTCCTAGTTGAAAAACCGGGGTTACAGAGGGTTACCAATCGGGAGCACAAATCATTTCTCCACCAGTGACATGTCAGACTGATTCATCATCTTCCTCACCTCTCTTCCCCTGCCAGCAGCCACTGAGTTGGTCAGCTCAAGGCATCAAGTGCTGATGCCGATGAACGCGGCAGACAACGCAAAGAGGGGAGACACGCCGCCTGGAGCTCCACGGCGCCTGTTGACGGCTGTTAAGTGCCAAAATAACGTCGTCAATACCTGTATAAAACCACAAATGTGAAACTTCCAACATAGTGGTAGGATTTATTTCTAACAATTTCCACGAGTGGTGGTGTATATTTGTATGCAGGTGATCAACCACCAAAGTTGGGAGAGAATGAGCATAAAGAATGGAAACATATTTTGCTCTCATGAACTCACATGGTTTTAAGCTACAACATATAAAATGTGCAATTATTTGGACCAAAACATGGAGCATCATGAAGTGGGGCCCACATGTCAGCATCCTGAAGAAAGATGTGGGCCAGGGGAGCCAATCAGGGTTCGGCCGAACCCCTGGATCGGCGGAACCCGCAGCTGGCCCAATCCAGCCCATATTCGGTATGACGATTGTACTCCTCATCCCAATGACGGTTGTGTCCTTTTCTACCGGTGGAAACCGTCATAGAGAGGACACTTGTCAAGAGGAGATGAAGCTAGAAGGAATATGCTCATAGGATGCTTGGAGCATCTCCACTCTCCCAAGGCAACTCTCCACCTATAAATACCCCTCTCCTCTCCCTCATTCACACACACCAAAGCATAAGATGAATTACAAGAGGACCTAGTGTACTTTATTGTTATGGGAATGATAAGGGAGAGAGTAAGTGTAACACCCCAGGTAACCACGTACCTAGAGTGCCACACCAAAAAAACACTCAAACCACTAACTTCCAAAATTATTAGAAATTTCGGCAGAGTCACCCCTGCAAATACGGACATCCACAACAGGCAATTATAAGTTAAACTAATAACAATATCATTCCCATAATACGATCCATCCTTATAATCCATGGAGAAAAAACTATTAGAAATCTAAAAGATTATTATAAGACCAAACCAGGATATAATTTAAGTGTCATTATGGACCTAAGCAATATAGTTTGATAGTGTGCAAGTAGATGTGAATATAAGGGTGCTACTTCCCGCCCATGCATGTCGGTCTCAATGCGTACCTAAAACCAAATAAAACACAAGAGTATAAAAATAATCAGCAAGTACAATATGGAACTAGAAAACACATATACACATCATTGACAATAAAGCATGAACAGAAGATTTTCTTTCTTTGATAGGAAACACATTTCCAAACACCAAGTCAAAGGAGATAGTAGTTCCCATCCCTGCAGACATGAATTGAAATAGTAGTTTCCATTCCGGACAATAGTGAATACATCCTAACATTTGCCGGCAAAGCCGAGTAAGCGTGATCAGCGCTTATCCACGGGAACTTGAATAAAGAACCAAATTGCAGTACCATGACTACACATGGTACTTGAATAATTGAAACCGGAATCAAAGAACCAAATTGAAACACATCCATGGCAAGCAGGGAATTTGAATTATTTAAGCAGAATCAGAATCCAGAATATTAAAACAAGAATAAGATCGTACACATAAGATCAACTTGAAATCTAAATGGCATGAACAATAATATGAATACAAGCAGTTACTTATCACGTTGAAATATATCAGAAATAAATAGATAGAGTAAACAATCCATGAATCACACAATTAGTTCGTCATACACTTGCCTTCAACGAAGGATTGGTATCATGCACGAGCTGATGGACCACCACCTAATCACAAACAAAACCTTAGCAAACACATTCAAACATGCGTATAAAACAATAAAAAGGTGAACCTACTGCCCCATCCCATCAAAACTCAATAACAAGGAACACCACTTGGATTATACACAAGACTGCTGCTTCAAACCTTTATATCTCGAAATATGAAAAGGCTATGACGGAAAATGTATAAATTTTGAAAATCTACAGAGCAATACCTACAACTTTCATGTAGAAAGCATATTTTTATTGTGCTATTTAAATGGTCTAATTTGCGCTTGAAAGCAAGCTTTAGAATCTGTCCAGAATTTCAGACTGTCCACACTAAAACAACCATAACTGGAGTTCTACGCGCCCAATCAGGTTGTACTTTACCAATATGGAAAGCTAAGAAAAACCTCTACAACTTTGTCTATAGGCAGCCGGGCTGATTCTACTGTTTAGCCCCTCCAAAAATAGTTCAATCTACTACTATCCAGATTATGACACAAAAACAACAGTCATACTAAAAAAATTATATCTCCTAAACCACTTGAGATAAAAATCGCGCCCTTTGGTCAGAAGATATATCCGAACATATATACAACTTCCTAGTTATACACTTTTGAAGAAAACAACATTTAGAGCCCCAAAACATCGAAACACTGAAGCACTGCAAATCTGCCCACATGCAGAACTTCAACAAACCGAACCACAAATACCCAAACTCCTTCTCTAGCCTTCCCTAACCACGAATTAATGCACTAAAGCCATGCTAGAAAAACTGATACAACAAGGGGATAAGCCTCACCTAGGGTTTCTTTAGAGAACTTGTGAGGAGACAATAGGGGAGACTCCGGTCTAACCCCTCCTTCTACTCCTCTCCTCATCGTTCCGTTTTTCTACTTCGCTTCTTGATCCAAGCTATGAAGGTGGAGATCTAGGGAGAGCAATTTGCTGTAGATGGGAGAGATGCGAACACAGGAGGAGAGGAGGAAGGAGGCACCGGCCAGGGAGAGGGGTGGCGGCACTATGAGGGGAGGTGGGATTCGGTTCCCCTCTCTCTAGGTTTTAGGGGAGAACTAATGGGCTGGGTTTATGGGCCTTCTCATGTTGGCCCACTTCTAAAAATATTTTTCTTTTATTTTTTTCTGTTAACATCTTTATTTTAACAAGTCAACTGTCACGCCCAGAAATTCACGGACCAGAATTTCTAAGCTGAATGTGCATTAAACCCCTGTCCAGGACCAGCCAGGGTACACAAACGACAATTGTTGACATACAGATCCACGTCTTACAAAAATATAAAAGATTACAAATGCAGCGGAAAAAGAGAAAAGCGAGCTAAGCCTGAAGACTTGACTCCTGCAGCGGGCGACTCCATTCCACAGGCATCCTTGACGGCAGCGACGAAACCAACCTCTTCGAGACATCTTCAACTGAGAAGGACTTCAACTCTGGTGTGGGGGAAAAGAGAGCAAGACTGAGTACTACCCACTGTACTCAGCAAGTCATACCGGAAGAGGAGGTATGATGCAAGATATATCCAAGGGAGGCTAAAGGTTCTTTTGCATAAAGCCGGCATTTCAAAGCAGTAGTTGAAAGCAGTAAAACAGTTGTAGTAATTAATCCATATTAACCAATCACTGTCCAACGTTACACCACGTTGCAACAGGCCCAAACCACCACCTGAACTAATCAGT